AACTTTTGCTTCTTTAAAATTTTTATTATTTAATCTTTAACTTTCACTCTTTTAATTTTTGAAATTGATTTGTGTTTAAATATGACTGAAAACATAATTCAAGATGATAGCATGTTATCTATTTTCCAGCTGCAAAATGAGTTTACAACTGATACGATCTAAACCTTGATCTTCACTATTTTCGGTTTCAAAATCTGAATTCAAATTAAATAAACAAATATAAATATTTAATAAATGATGTATTCTAATAGAAACCAGTTCTACAACTCGTATGAATTAAACTTGATAGAATTTTGTTTTGAATTATTAAGTAATAATTTTCAAAATAGATTAAAAACTATCAACATGTGTTTTATGAAGAGAATAGTTGTCCAGGTTATAAATGAAACTTGAGCCAAATAAATTATTATTGACTTTGTATGAGCTCTAGTCCAGATCTATATATGTTTATAGCACTGATGAATATTCATGATCAATGTACATATGCTGTAGTGAACTCAAAATAATATTTTGAAATTTCTTAAAATTAGCGAAAAATATATTTGACACCTTTCGGGTTAAGCTGTAGTGAAATTAGGGAAAAGCACATAATTATCCATTTCTGTTAAAAACTTGGAAATAAATGAATCATTGGAAAAATTTATCATAGGTCCTACTCTAAAGCATAACTCCTGACCAACATATGGTTCAGGGCTATATATCATTTTGACAGCTATCAGATTCAAGCTGAAAGGTCATGGATTTAAGTATAGTCATTTTTACATGATGAAAAATGTTAATTGCAGCAGAATGGCAATAGTCCCTTAATTTTGTGTAAAGAAATGGTGATTAGTATTTGAATGCAACTCTTGAAGGATGTAACAAATTATTTGTTGCAAGAATTTTGGAACAAATGAATGAAAAGCATTTTTTTCACTTATTGATTCATTTAGAATTGGGAACAAGTTGCATGTAGTTTTAAAATAAATTGATACAGTTTTTAATATACATTCTCTCATTTACAGACCTAAGTATTATGTGATTGGGTGTATAAAGAAGAAAAGTACCAGAGGTCTAATTAAAGCAAAATTATACATGTATGATGCAGAACATTATGCCTGTACACAAAAATTGACACATCATGTATACTGTATACAGTTTTTCGTTAATGTCTTGGCTAGACATAATGGCAGTTCTTACACTCCACATGATATGATCACTGTCAGTTGAAGTTATTTGCTTTCTTTCTCTAGCTTTTGTCATATTTCTGATTACTTTTTATCAAGATAGTTGAGTATTGACATGACCAGCCATGGCATAAGTTAGCCAGAACTGTGAACAAGCTGAATCAGAATGAGTAAGCAGCCTATGTATACAATTTATAGTCTTGTTCGTTGGCACTAATTGGAGACACACATACACAACTTTACACATTAAACTATTTCTAAAACCCTAATTCTATCTCTTGAGTATAATTACTATCATAGGCAATATAAATTCAAACTAACTCATTGGATTGGTCAAAACAAGTAACTTCTTTTTAAGCCATTAACCCTCTCGCTACAAGTCTTCCCATGGTCAGGGGTCAAAGGGCATGTCATCACATTCATAGACTTGTATTTAAAATTTTATTGAACTACTATTTTATGAATGTATGTCGGTAAATTTGGTATCAAATTGTAGATTATAATTCAGGTTTTAGTATTATACATTAACTTTTTCAACCCGGGCTTGGTCCCTGGGACCGATCTTGTAACCATTGTATGCTTGTTATAGTTTTCATGCTATAACTTTTAAATTAGTAAGCGATGTTTACTGATAAACTGCCAAATTTCGTTAACATTTACAATGCTTTCATATGTAAAATATCACATTTTTTTATTAAAGTCATAAGGTTTGTAAAGCAATGTTTCTCTTTATAATGTCCAGATAGTTATCAAATGTTTCTTAAGAAAAAACTTTAATATTTTATCTGTTATTTTCAGTAATTAATCTCTGTACAGGTTTGGTAAATTTCACCAATCTCACAACCAGCATAAAAACATAGGAAATAAACACAAATTATGCCTCTTTCATTCTAGAATGACAACTAAATTATAACACGAAAACATGTATGTTTAGACTAAATAGCTTAAATCTCATAACATTATACATTTATATATATATTTATTATTTTTATTATATTGACTTTCAAACTGACCTAACAATACAGACAC